AAAGATTCCAATTTTTTTTTTATGTCGATGATATTTAGACCTCCCTCGTCTATTGGGAGTTCAAATGTTTGCTTAGGGGTTTTTACGGTACTATTGTTCCATAAAAATCTTTCATTTTTTCGTTTTATTTTTTTAATTTTTTTGTCAGAAGGGATTGGTATTGTAAAAGCTAGATGCCATAAGCTGCTTAAAATAGTTTGGTTTATTGCAATAGCTCTACCTTTAATGAATAACTTGAATCGTTTCCAGCTATCTATTTTTTTGTTAATAATCTTGCTAGACTCATCCCTAGATGAGTTAAGAACTTTTATAGAGTTGTGTATCCCTAGATGAGTTTAGAACTTTTATAGAGTATGGCGAGCCACAGGCCTTGGCATTTGGTAGTAGTTAGTTTTGCTCCTGTGGCTAGCTTGTTTATGTTTAGGGCGTTGTTTAGAGCTTTTATAGAGTTGTCCGACGAGAGGTAGAAATTAGTATCATCGGCGTATTGTTGCAGCGTTGTCTCTTTGTTGTTATGAGTTATTCCCTTTATTTCTGGATTTTTGCGGAAATATCCTGCAAAAATCTCAGCTTTAAGGACATATAGAGTTATCGAGAGAGGACATTTTTGTCTTACTCCCCTGTGTATGGTAAATTTTTCTGATAGAAAGCCGTTTATTTTAAGATACGAACTATTTAATCTGGATCTATATTTCATGTAGACGAAGGATAAAAAAGCGACTTCACATGTCTATCAGTGTGTTCAAGTATATCAAACACTAACCATTACTCAGCTCCTACATAATTAATAAGTGAAGGTGGCTCGGTGACTTTAAGAAACTCGGCCTTTCGTGGAATAAAACCGAAATTGCTCTTTCTTTCAAAGTAATACTTGTTTGTTCGAGGATAATGTATTAGCTTTCTAGCCATTTCTTCCTTTGTAATGTCAGACACAGAATGATCGGAATTGGCTAGGGCAAAAATAACAGTAGTGGGATCAAGTACCAGCTTTGTTTTTCCTACCTTTTGAAGACTGAAGCTGCAGCTACATCAAACTAATTTTTCAGCTCTCAAAAATTGAGGAGCATAGAAAATTGAAATTAAAATTGCCATCTACTTCACCAAGTTAATCTTCTCCTGGCTAAATTTTAGGATTTGCTTGGTCAAATTCAGTAGAAGCATTATCTTTAGATAGCAGATACTCTTTGCCATAAAACGAGCATGATGTACTGCTCCAAGCTTGTGTATGCCGAAAGGCTTGAATGTCGGTTCCAAGAACATGAAAGCCAGCTTAGCAGTTCCTTGTAGTATTCTCTCTTCTCGTGTCTTTAAAAAAGTTTAATGCGGATATTTAATTTCATTCATTATTTTTTTGTATTCAAACTTGAAGATTTAAATGGTTAGAAAAGTTTACCTGAAAGTTTTTGAATACTCCTTCATTCATAATCGTCATTTAACGTTTTTTTGCTTTTCCTGCTTGTTCATTAAACTGAGAATCATAAATAGATTGCCATTTGAAGTGAGTGATAACATGTTTTTAACATCAATATCATTCCTCTTACTTTCCAAGCCTTTAAAGAGTGCGTTGTTAGGTTCTGTGGTTTTGTCTATGGTAACTGCTAACCAATAATGTTTAAATATGACTTCTAAAACATGATGTCTACAAGCAAGTATCAACAGTGGTTTACCAACATTATTTCGTAGTCTTAAAAATTAGGATTATAACTAAATTTTTTTATTTTAATTAGCTTTTAGAGACCTTTTTTTAAATTATATTGAAAAACAGTTCACCTGTACATAACAACACGAATCGATCCAGTATTGATAGCAGTAGTGTCGAAGCAGACCATCCTTACGTAATCAGAAATTTCAAGCTCTTTCAAAATTTCTTTGATAGCCTTGAACTGATTTAGCCCTGTACCAGAATGAACTCTTGGAACGCCAAGTAGATGATCAGTACCTCCAGCTCTCACAGAACACAAATCCTATCAATTGCTCATTACCGTGTTTTGATATCAAGTCTTAGAACTAGAATTAGATTTAGGTGTAAGAAAATCAGTTGTTTTCAATTAAAACACCAGTTAAAATTAAATATATGCAAATCTTGATTAACTTTCTATCAAAGTGTAGCGATGTCTTTTTTTTATCAAAATACTAATTATTTCAGCATCTTTGTTAATAATATTGTTTTTCATTTGAAAAGCTGAAGTATAAGAAGGGGGCAACTTATTTGGATCACCTCCAGCTGCGATGACAAGCTTTATCAGGGTTGCTGTAATTTTATTAGCTGTTATACCCATGCCTATAGCTGTTCTCATAGATTTTTAATAATTTCTCGGTTGATAACAATGGTTTGTTCTTAATTTTTAAAACTCCTTATTGAACAGTCCATGTAACTTTTTTCTGATTCAGGCTCTAAACTTGGTTCTGAAGAAATTGTTTTAGGTAGATGTACACCATCAGTAGAGCACACTTTAAAACCTCTAGACTGAACAAATAATTTTTCGCAAAAACCTGTTGATGCTTTAACTATACTCTGAATCCTGCTATTTCTCTTCTGTTCTATCTCGGCTCTACGCTTGTCAATAGGTTCAAGCGTCATTTTTATTTTTTTTTCAGAAATAGCCAGTCCTCAGACTTGTCCGAATGAAGCCGTTCTTTGCTCGCTTTGATTGTGTTGGAAAAAATTTTCTTTATGTTACTGAGCCAAAACAGTCCTTGAAAATATTTGTATTAAATAAAATTTTAACAATTCAAGTAAATATTTTGAGGTTTATTTAATTTATATGGGAGGAGTGAGTTTCAAAAGAGATTATGAATAAATTTTTAATTTAAAAGTAGCTAGTACCTCTTTTAGTCTTTAAAAAGTCAGTGCGAGATTGCACACATCTTGCCTTACTGTTATGTTAGTTTTTCTTGGGCTTTAGATATCTATTAATATATTTTGTTAATATTTCTTTGCAGGGTGACAGGTCCAATCATAAGTAAACCAGATCTTAGCCATGGAAACCAAAGTGCTCCTCGTACACATTCCTTTTGCAAGTAGTATCTAAAGAAATACCTTGGAAACTGAATAAAAAAATTTGAAGAATTTGTGACAAAAAACTCACTTATCAGATATTTTTTTGTCAACAAATATAATTTTTGTGAAGCTACATATAACATTATATTTTTTTCTTAATGCTATTGAAGTGTTATTTACATATAAATAGATATGTCTGTAGGCATTTTAAACCAATCAAAGTATAAATTATAAATTGAACCTGAACTTGTTGCTCAGAGGACAGCATATAAGACGTTTACTTTGATAACTAGGTCCATTCTTTTTTGAGCACGGTTTTTTGAATAATTCTAAATTATTAGAAATATTCGTGTTAAATTTGCATACAAACTGATCCTCCAGTTTTTGAATTAGAAATAAGATGCTTCTATCTGTGTAACCAAGATGTTTGTATATCGTTAGGACTTTTGTGGATTGTCTTTGAATTATTTCAATAATGTTTATATCTTTCATTAAATAAGGTGACAAAGTACTGATTGCATAATCCAGGTTAGGTCTGACATATGTTGTGTACAAGTTGGTTCATAACATTAAATCCCTTGATATAAATGTTTTTTTTTACCATATTAAGCATTCTGTTAGCTTTAATACTAGCACGAAAAACTTGATGAAAATATTTAGCATTACCTGAAAAAAATATACCAAGATCTTTTTCTACATCTAAACTTTTCAAATAGTAATATAAATAGTTGTTTGTACCTAGAAGTGAATAGTTTGAGCGTTGGTTGTTTCTTCTTATATGCATAACTTTAAACTTTTCTCGGTTGAGCTTCATCAACCAAACTTTTGTTTATTCAGTGATTTTATTTAAATCAGTTTGATATCAGTGGTATAATTAAGAATAGTTTTTACTCGTAGCTCATTCATTAATTTCAAATCATCTGTATATAGTTTACTGACACATTTTAAATTGTCTAGCAAGACATTGATTTAAGTTATAAAAAATATTTGGCCTAAAACTGAGCCTTGTGGGACAATGCTAGTAACGTGAGCCCAATCAGATATGTGTTTTTCAAGAACTACTCTCTATTTTCTATTAATAAGAAAGTCTCTAAAATAATCAAGAAGATCTTCAACTATTCGATAAGCTTTAAGCTTGATAGTAAACAATTTGTGAGGAATTGTGTCAAAAACTTTTGAAAAGTTAAGATATACCACATCTACTGCTTCATGTTAGTTAAGCATTTTGTAATATAATCATTGGATGCTTTATTCTTTCCAAAACCATGTTGAAATTGAGATAATAAATTTAGTTTTGAGACATGATTTACAATGTCATTGGTTACCAAGTTATTATTAATTTATATATAATAGATGTAAAAGAAATCTTATTAATTTATATATAATAGATGTAAAAGAAACTGGTCTATAAATACATGTTCATTGGTTTCACCTTTTTGTAAATAATGGAGTAACATTTGGATTAGGCCATGCATGAGGATTCAATTTTTTTGTTAGTGATTTAATAAATATAATTCTTATAGGTAAAGATAGTAATTAGCAAATTGTTTAAATTTCATCGGGTGGACATTGTCTTGTCCGGTTGTTTCATCTGGATATAAATTATACTTATCATCTATTGAAAAATGAAGGCTTGATGAACGCCCAGTTGTACAATCTAAAAGTAGTTGAGAAACTGATTTGAATTGATCATTTAATGTGTCTCCAATATATTTATAATCTGTCCCAGTAATTCCATATTTATTTCATATTAATTTGATGCTTTGTTAGATTTTTCGAGAACTATCAGCATAACTAAAAAAACGTTTGGGATTTTTTGTATCAAATGCTAAACTATGTTCAAATTTTTGATAGTTATTTTTTTGTACTTGTAAAGAAGATTTTAACTTTTTGTGTTGTTCAACAAGCTCAGCTATTTTTCACTTTGAAGATTGCTTTTCACGTCATAATCTATTTTTTTATTTATGAGGATTAAAAGGGTACATCTAAGTTATCTTACTTGATAAATTATAATTAAATTTTAGTACCAAATGGCCTTCACTTAGAAAACACATAGAAAATTTACATTTGGTGGTAAATTTTCTATGTGTTTGATTCAATATGATGATTCAGTTATGACCAGGTCCAATATATATTAGGGCATTTTATTTTCATTGACGAATGTTGGAAATATTACATTTTTAATAATGTTTAAATTGTTTTAAGAACTACAATTCTAGCACCAGTGCTGTTTTTATTACCACTAACTTGAGTAAAACCATCATTATACCATTTGATATATTGAAAATTGAAATCACCACATATGAGTATAAATTTACATACTTGTACAAATTTTTTTGTTTAACTCTAGTGTAATTTTATTTTAACAACAGACGGTAAATACAGCCAAGCTTAATAGTCTCGTTTCCATACTTTATAAGTCACCATGTTTGTTTAGACTTTGTAACATTCATTGAAATTTTTTTTATTTCATATGATAATATATTGTCATGAACAAAAATTTACGTAAATAGTCATTTTCAATATTTACTAAAGAATCTTCTTTGAACCAAGTTTCAGTAATAAATATAATACGAGGTTTGTACGTTGAAGCTAATAATGATAATTCAATTACTTTATCTGAGCTTAATGAGGTAGCATTTGTATAAAAGTACTTTAATTAGTTATTATTTTCAAACTAAAAAAAATTATTTTTTACATTATTTGAACAACCAGTTTCAATTATCAATAAACAATTTAAATAAATATTTTTTTAAATTTTTATATAAACAAAATCTTTTTAAAATTTTATTAAGTAGTTAATTAATTATAATCTTTTTTTAAATTGTACTTTTAAATTTAAAGCTTCGTGTTATAGATGTTAATATTGAAAACAAAGATTATCTGTTTTTTTTAATATTAACATCTATTGAAATCTTTTTTTATATTTTACTTTTAAATTCAAAGAAATTGTACTTTTAAATTTAATGAAATTGTACTTTTAAATTTAAAGAAATTGTACTTTTAAATTTTAGAAATTGTACTTTTAAATTTAAAGAAATTGTACTTTAAAATTTAAAGAAAATTTACTTTTAAATTTAAAGAAATTGTACACTTAAACTTAGAGAAATTAAAATAATTTAAATGTTAATATTGAAAATATAGACTATCTATATATTCAATAATAACATCTATAACACAAAGCTTTGAATTTAAAAATACAATTTGAAAAAGATTTCAATAAAATAATTACTTAATAAAAATTTAAAAACATTTTATATTACCTATAATTTTAAGCTACTAAACATTATCTACGTATGTCTACTTAAACATTTTCAACTCGTACCATGAAAGTATGCTACATTTGTAAGAAAGCTCTCGGTTAAGAAAAGTACTAAAAATATAAACTATTATTAAAATACTATACTAATAAAAAATAATAATAAAATACTGTACTAATAAAAAATGATAAAAGTAATAACGACTTAAAAATTAAGAAAGTGTATTTTACAGAATACAAAACCGTAATTTGTATCGAATAGGCGTAGCTATGCGCACTAATAATAATAATAATAATATTCACTGCGCTATTTATATTATGAAATAATAAAGATAAAAATTTATACAACTTTTAATGACATTTACTTAAAATCATTAGCTACTTTATATAAAAGCGTTTTCCTAATATAAAAACGTCAGTAGGGAAGACTTGTAAAAATTGAAACAGCGCCTTAATTGGAACGTTTGCATTTATTTTGGAAAAAAAATTGATTATAGGTATATTTTGCACATTTTTATTTAAACGCATTATTTTCTACGTTTTGACACATTTTAAAAGTTATTTCTTCAAAAATGCGTTTGCGCCGTTGATTTTAAGTTTTTTTGCGTCATTTTTTTTTCAGTGATCTAATTTTGCGTTCACACAATACTGATTGCGCTGGATAAACTATTTTGCTATAAGTTGTATCGTTTTTGTATTTAATTCGATGGAATTTAAAATAAAAAATAACAATTTAAACTTACCTTATAAGTTGCTCCAAGCATGTCATTGTAGCAATATAATAAAATATTGGAAAGTTTGCTTGATTGGAACATTGAAGTTTTCATTACCTTATCAGTAATAAAATCAAATAATTAATAAGTAGTTCAAGTGCAATTAAAAAAATATTTAGTAAAAATCTCCTAATTTATTGATTTTTAATCAATAAATGAAGAGAACGTCTAACAGTGAAATTTTATACAATTTTTTGTTTGTAGACTTTACATTTGGATTTTACTAATCCCATAATAAGTTTTGAGTTAACTGTTTAATTTTTCACTGTAAAAACAAAAATCATTTTTTACAAACTTTAGTTTTTTTACTTTTAAAACCTGTTCTGATTAAGGAATCAAAGTGTTCCAATATAAGAAACCAGCTGTCTGATGGGAACAAAATGGTAATTTTTCAAAAGTAAATTCTTTTCAAATAACAGGGCAATCAATTAAGATAATTTTATATTGAAAACTTTTTGAATTAATTTTTTAATTTGGAAACTTTATTTAGACTGTGGTGGAACCTGTAATGGTTTATTTACATCATGTGTTAATAATGTATGTCAATGTCATAGTAACTACACCTTGATTAATGGAGTTTGCACAGGTTAGGACCGTTTTTTTGTTGATTTATGACTTTAGTTTTGTTTTGTTTTGACTTTTATTCTTTACGTCTACACAAGACACTGTTAAATGGATAAATATCACAAATTGAATATTTGAATTAATAATACCTTATATTAAGACATTTCTCTTTATAACTATAACACTTTGTTATTGGAATCTTTCAATGAATAATTTAAATTAAAAACTTTTATAGATTCAAAGTTGCATTTGAAAAGTAATTTTTATTTTTATTATTAGTATTATTATAAAAAAGAAAAAAATGTCGAAAAAAAATCTTTTTATCTCCCAAATCAATTTATATTAAACAATTTTGATAGAAAAATTTATTAGGCAAACATAGTAATAAAAAACTAACAGCAAGCAAACCGTAATACGAGTTGTTAGTAAATAAATCATTTTTAGCAACTAAATATTCTTTATATACTTTTATATGATTGCTCATTTTTATTTTTTTTATTTTTTAGTGAAACGTAACTCTTAGCTTTAATAGATATAAAATTAACCGTTTACTCTGCAATATTTGAGCATTATTTGTGCAATACAAAACAAATTGGGTATGTTAAAAGCTGACTTTAGTCATATGGTTCCTTTAATATCCAAACTTATTACTTAAGCTATCTTTTTTATATTTAATAACCCAGCAAGAAACTAAAGAAGTAAACAAAAACACGGTAAATGAATATATTGATTTACTTTATAGTTAATGTATGCCAATATAACTTATTTCAACATTTATCCAAGTCATATTATACTAATGCAGAAAATATTTAGCAAAAAATGTCTGCAATATATTTTGACATGATTTGTCTTAACATTGCATTAAAATTTATTAATTTTAGTTATTTTTGAAAATTTTCATCAATTTTAGTATATTTTGTATATTATAATTTAAAAAAATAATAAAGCAAAATTGATAATAATTTTATACACCTAAACTGAGCAATTACTCGTTAAGTTCATTCAAGTTAATAACAAAAAAAGAAATTTTTAAAATTTGAGAAACTTTTTTAGTTAATGTTACCACTCTCCTTTTTTTTTGTTCTTGTTGTTGTTGTTTAACAATCTTATTAGTGAATTACGCATTTTATTACGATTTTTACTACGATTTAATTGAAATTTTATTACGTATATATTTTACGAAATGTTTTATGAAATTTTATTACGTATTACGTAATACGATATTTTATTGAAATTTTATTAAAGGGCCTCTATCAAAAGATTACGATGACGTACTGTCATCCTCATCTTCTTTGAGCCCCTATCTGTTTTTACTTCCTTTTTTTTTTATGAAGCACGAAGTTATAAAATTCTTATGTTATAAAAAAAAAAAAAAAAAAAAAAAAAAGCGATTGCTTTTTTTTATTCACCCGGCCTAATGAGCTAAAAAGATTATCAAATATTTATTAAAAGTATTGCACAATAAACAAAAAAATGAATATATAATTCTGATCTCAACAAAACTGAAAAAACCTGGAGAAAATAAAGTTTTTTTTTAAAATCAAATTATGCTTTCATAAAGTTTTGTTTATTAAAGTGGGAAGAATTAAAAAAATATATATCCCTTATATCTTAAAAATCAGAAATCAATCAAAATCCTAGTATGTGTATATACCTAAGAACAATCACAGTATAAGGATAAGATTTAATTGAATGAAAAGTAAAGCAAGAATGAATTTTAGAAGATGGCACAAAAGACGCTAATTCTCTAGAGCAATGCCTATTATAGTACTTGTAGAAAAGAGAAAGAGATATTTGATGTGATAATGGTTAAAGGTTGGCTGCAAGAGTAGATCAAACTACGTTTACAATGCGTTTTTGCACCTTGTTTAAAAGAAAAAGGGCATCATTGGAAGATCAGCCCCAGATATTCTAACAGTATTTCATAAAAGGACAAATTTGAGAATTATAGAGATAAAGAATAGAATCTGCAATAAGAAAGTATCGAGTACAATAAAGAGAAGCAACCTTTGCAGATGAAAAGGTTACATTCAAAAATCTTGCTTATGATAGGACTGATAGGATAATAGTTAGACAAGGCAGATTGCTTTCCAGATATATTTAAAGTAGGGATAATAGATGCAGATTTTCAGTATGCTGAAAAACAAGGCTCTGATAAGCACTAATTAAATAGTTTTGAAAGTATAAAAGACAACTCTGTAGAACACTTCTGCAAGACTATAACAGGTATGTTGTCGAGACTACAAACTATAGAAGAGTCTATGTTGGAAATCATTTTAGATGCAGACGCTGGAGCAATACAAGTGTTATTCAATGGATCAACCTGTTTGTTAGCTGTACCAGGTAGAACGCAACTAGAGTAATAAAGAAATGATATTGATGAAAAGTTCTTTGCAATAAATACAGTTTTATCTTTAGGCGAAATGACATCTGAACCATAAAAGAGATGTGGAAAACAGTTTTTCCCTTATTTTTGTACTGTTAAAGATTCTTCAGAAGTTATAAGAACTTAATTTTTTAGACAAAAAACGAGATTCCATAACCTGAGAACAGTTGCTTTGGCATTAGACAAAACTATTTTACAATGGTTCATAAACTTAGTAAACAGATGTCTTTTTTTTTGAGAATTGTTTTGCTGGTATATTTGGAAGTAATGGTTTTAATTTAAAATCGCAGCCGCATATTGTAAGGAAAACCCTGGAGATGAGTAAGGCTTGACTTTAAACTATCGAGAGGAATTAAAAGATTCCATGCTAGCTTGATTCTAAGAATTTATATAAAAAGCACATTTTTCAGCAGGAAGATAAAAGATTTTTACCCAATGTCTATCTCAAAGAAAATCACAAAAAGAGACCCAGTCAGCTTTTAGGTAGTTGTAGGAGGTATGAATTGGAAAATTCACTATTTTAGTTAGAGATAACGAAAGACAAAAGATATGGGTCTTAATGCCTGCAGCGTCTCTGAAACTAGAGCCAAGCCATTCATTGTGATGAGCATTAAAGTCACCAACAATAATGAAATTGGCTGAGAATAAAGAGAGAAGAATTAGTCAAATAGATTAGAAATAACATCAAAAAGAGTGCAGCCTTGAGATTGAGGAGAGCGATATAGAACTTGAAGAAAGGTGATAGAGTGAAGTGGTACTAAACGTAATCACATAGAAGAATAGCCTCTAGATTCAAATTTGGTTTCCTTACAAATGGGTGAATTTTTAAAAATTTAAATGCCCAGGTCAAGTTTGTGGCTATTGGAATTTGTATTCCAATAATAATATTAAAGTTCTATATTACTATCTTACACATCTTGGTTTTGGGTTAAATTTTAGACCAAAAATTTTAATCTTAAACAATAGGTGTTTAATCTCGGTGCAGACATTTTAGAATCAACTGACTAATACATTAAAATAAATGTTAGTTTAAAAAAGACATCATTTGAAAATATGATAAACCATTTGAAACATTATTGATTGGTAACTAAAAAGCTGCAAACTCCAAAGGTCCTATAGTGTAGCAGAAGTAAGATCCTTTTTTTAGTATCAACCGCAAAAAATGCCGTTTTTGATGTGAGAGTTTTTAGGAAATCATTTATGTTAACTAAAATGAGTGAAGAACCAAGGGTAAAACCTTAAGGAACCTCTAAACTTGCAGGACAAGAAAAAGAGTGCCATCTATCTAAAACAATTTTTATACTACGAATGGTAATGAAGGATTGAACAATGTTAAAGATATTACATGATACACCGTAAGAAGAGAACTTATGGAGAAAGCTGGTTTGTCAAACTTTATCAAAAGCTTTAAAAATGTTGAGAGCAATAAACTTTACTTCTCTACATCCATCTAATGCACGATGAAACCTAATTGTTATTACTGTTAGCTAATCAGATGTAGATTGTTAAGATTGAAAACAATATTGATGATCAGAAACTAAGTTATGAGATTTAAGATGAGAGATCAGCTTCACTAGTAGACAATTTTATTAGAACCAATACCTCAAGTAAATTGCCCAAAAAAAGAGTTTTTAAAAAAGATTCATCTAATTATTTTAATAATTTTTTCTCTTTATAGACCAACTGAATTATTACCTCTACGAAAACAAGTAGTTATATAACGACTCATTAACGATAAAAAACTTTATCTTATTAGTATTTGTGAACCAAAAAAAATGTACAACTCATTATTTAAAATATATTATCAAATTTACGATGTAAATCTTTAAAATGCAAGGTTTGTAAAACAAATAAAAACATTAAATCACCATGGATTACAAAAGATTTAAGAAAATCTTTGAAATATACCTAAAAAATACCTAAAATTTAAAACAATTGAAAATAAAACATTTTACAAAATTTATACAAAACAATACTACAACAGTTTATTTGAAAAATACATAAATTCTTTTGAAAAGAAATTGAAGAATATAAATGAAATCATCAGTAGTCATAAAATAAAAGCAAGCTCTTAGCCCAAAGTTATTGAAATAAATGACAAACTCTTAAGTGATCCTATTATAATAGCAAACAAAATACTCAAGTAATTTGTATCAGTTGGATCAAACTTAGCTAAAAATATACCTATTGTCATTAACTTAGCAAGCGACAATCCCTCTTCATTAAAATTTCTTTAAATGTTCTTACAACAACATTTGAAGAATTTGAATCCGCCTACAAAATGATCAAATTAAATAAAGCGGTCGGACCAGACGATATTAATGAAAATATTGTTATTAGTTCTTATGATATAATTAAAAATATTATTTTTAAAACTTTTAGTTACTCAATTAAACAAGCAATGTTTCCAGATGCTCTCAAAATAGCTAGAGTTACTCCAATCTTTAAATAAGGTGTTTTTCAAACGTTTCGGAAAGAATTTTGTTTAATGTAATATATAACTATCTAACTATAAACAAAATATTATACAATATTCAATATGGATTCAAAAAAAAAAAAAATTCAGCTGAATATGCAATACTTCAACTTACTAGAAGTATTGCAAGTTCATTTGAAAAATCACAATATATTCTAGGTGTCTTCATAGATTTATCAAAAGCCTTTGATACTATTGATCACGAAATTCTTTTTAAAAAAAACAACTTTATGGAATCACAGGGAATGTATAATTATTATTATTAAAAAACTATTTAAAATATTGGAAACGATTTGTTACTAAGACCTTTGCTTTTTTAATTTGATCTCTATAAAGCATCAAAATTATCAACAATTATGTTTGCCGATGATACAAATTTTTTTCTAACTGACAATGACTTACCAACATTATTTGACAAAATGAATAAAAAACTTATTAAAATCTCTAACTAGTTTAAGTCTAACAATCTATAAGTAAATATCGAAAAATCTAAATGAATCCGCTTTTACTTAGCTTCAAAATAAAACTTACTTTCGATTATACCTTCCTTGCATATTGATAATACTGAAAAAAAGAGAGCTAAAGTTACTAGTTCTTGGGTGTTTGCATTGATGAAAACCTCACATGGAAAAATCATTTTAACAATTTAAACAATAAAATTGTAAGTAGTATAGGAATGTTTTACAAATCAAGAGTTTTTTTAAGTAAATACACTTTAATTCAATTATACTTCCCGTTTATTTATTGCCTTAAAAAAAGTATACTAGAAATTCTTTAGCGTCAACAGAAGCACAATGAACGTCTTATAAATTTTAAAGACTGTTTTACTCGTGCCAGGCCTCTTTTACTTAAAATGAATATTCTTAATGTATATTAGCATAATCACTGTAATATTCATTGCTTTATGTATAAATATAAAACTAACATTTCCGCTTATCTTTTTTATAATTTATACTCACATAAAAAAAATAAGCAAATACTATCTTTGAAATGAAAACTTTTTACAACAATCTTTTTGGCATACAAATTTTGGTAGATCTTTTTTCTCTTATTGAGGAGCTTTTTATGGAACAAAATAGTTTTAAAATATTTTGATTTTACACAAAAGTGAAATTACAACACATTTAAAAAAAACTTAAACAGATAATTTTTTCAATTGATAACATACTCTTATATTTTTACTTTTTATAAAGTAAATTTTTTAAATTAAATTCTTTGCATATATATATTTGAGTGTTATTTATCTATTACGTTTATTTAATTAGACTTTCGACAAGAATTTACATATTTAACACAATAAATATAACAATGTAGTTGAAAAACAAAGCGGTTTTTTACTACAAGACCTTAAGGTCTTCTACGAGACTCCGTGTTTTTCCTCCTACAAACTTATTTTATTTTGTAATCATTCTAATATATTATTGAACTTATTATGATTGTTAAACGACTAATATTGTAAAATATTTAAAAATTAACTGTTTGTTGGTTAAAAGTTCAAACACTTTGCATATGATAGGAAGAAAACAAATGGAACAGTAGTTAGACAAGTCAGATCGCTCTCTAGAACTTTTGGCAATAGGGATAACAGATGTCGCTTTTCAGCAGGCTGGAAAACAAGGCTCTGATAAGTACTTGTTAAATAGTTCTCCAGAAGTCACAAGTGTCTACATTTTGAGATGAAGTATGAAATTTTTTGATCTAACAATAGCAGGAATACACGTTAGAAAAAACTTTTTTTACATTGGTTTCTAGCAGTAGGAAACAGACGTCTGTTTTCTAAGTAACTATTTTGCTCATAAATATGAAAGTAATGGTTATAAATGGAAGTTGGAGAAGCTCAATGGGAGGAAAACCATTAAGAAGAATGAGGCTTGACTTAAACTCTTCGAGAGGGAATAAAAGATTTCATATCAACATAAATCCAAGAAGTTACGTAAGAAGCACAATTTTCAGCAGGAAGACAAATGTTTTTACCCAAAAGCCATGCAAAGGAAGTCAGTAAAAGAATTTCAGTCAGCTTTAAGTTATTTGTAAAAGATTCAATTATAGGTGGATTCTGATAATTAAGACGAGTGAGATAATAGTTTTGAAATCAGTGTTCTTGATTTTTTAAATACTTTCTTGAATGCATATCATTAATATTAAGTTACACAAAGATTAGCCGTTAATTAACAAATACTTGATAAGCATTCAAATGTTTACTGTTAATAGTATTACTGTTAAGCGATAAAAGAAAAATAGTTAACAAGTTTGTATTGCTAAGCTTCATTATTGCTAACAAATTGCCATATACTGAACACATAAGAAAAAATAAATAAGAAGCATATAAAATTTATTTACATTAACTAAAATATTTAGTTTAGTCTTTAAAGTAAAATTACAATTCTTAAAAAATATTATTCCTATCATGTATACTGCACAAGAAAAGGAATGAAAAACTTTAACAATGCATTTAAGCTCAAAATTAATATTGAAAACAAAAATGTACTTCAAATTAATCAACAATTTACTGCATAATCCTAAAAAGTTTTCCTTGTAGTAGTTTTTTTTTTTTTCTTTTTTTTTTTTTGTTAATGTTTTTAACTATACATGAAAAGTTTTCTATTTAAAGGTATTAATGAGCATTCCTAATCAATTGGTATTTGTTAAAATTGAAATCATTAATTACAATACAAAAAGTTTTTATCTTATTTAAAAATATGAAGTACAAATACTTTTTTAAAATTTTTTTGCAGTAACAATCAATTCTATAAAAACACTAACTTTCGACTAAAAACATTCAACAGTATTTTTTTTTTAGTAAAAAAAGTTTTTAATTTTTTTTCCTCTAAGTATTGTAGTGGATTTAATTATTAACAACTTAAGATTTTTTTATCAACAAACAGAAATAAATTACAATAGTAGTTTTTACTAAATTGAAATAATTAAATTTCCTTTTTTTTTTTGTTAAACTTTGGAAATGTTTTAAACTCTCATTTATGTTGTAATTAAAATTAATATTTTGTTCTATATTTCTTTTAATAAAACATTTCTATTCAGCAGCAATGTTCAAAAAAAATATCTACGAAATAAAATAAGTTAAACAAGATTAGTTTATTTCATTATGAAATAAATAAAAAATTTAAAATAAAGTTAAGTTTAAAATTATGTTTAGTTTTGTAAAATTTAACCTTTAACTCTTTCGGTACGGTATTTGAAGATTTTTTCACTAATGTTCAATGACTTCTTGACAATCTTTAATATAAAAAAAATCGAGCTTTTTCAAATGATTTATTTTAAAAATTACAACATAATGATTTGCCAATCAGCTCATTCAGAAATTTTATATATTTTTAATACAAAATTTAAGCTTTGAAGTACATAAGTTTTGCTTTGCTAAAAGAAATTTTTCATTGTTTTCAATGGTGGAAGGTGATATTTCAGGCGGTGTGATTTTATATTATATTGAAGAAGATTGTTACTTTCCCATAAATTGTAAAAAACATTATTATGAAAAAAAAAGTTCTAAATTTATTTATTCAAAATTTTATAAGCTTTTTAATAATGTATAACATTATATACTGGGATTTTTTTTTTTTAAAGATATATATATATATATATATATATAATATATATATATATATATATATATATATATATATATATATATATATATATATATATATATATATATATATATATATATATATATTTGTAAGATTTTATTAACTTTTTTTTTTTTTTTTGGCCGTTGCAAATAAGTTGAATCCAAATTAGGAAAACATATTTGTTGAATTGCAATTTATGTTCAACTAATATTTTGCAGTTTTTTTAAACCATTTTTCAAATTATAAAAATAGGTACTTGGGGCAATTGGGTTTATGGAACATGTTCACAAACATGTGGTGATGGAATTGTAAGTCGCCATCGAACCTGTTTAAACTATGTTCAATGCTTTGCCGCTGGATCTTATAAACTAGTACAAATACAGGAAGACTTGAGTTGCAATTTACAATCCTGTGGTAATTTATATAAATATTTTAGTTTTCTCTTATACTTGCTATTGTAATTATTACTGTTATTATTTATCATTATTAATATTATTACTGTTATAATTATTATTAATATTGTTACTAGTAGTAGAGCATTAATGTAGTTACTATTAGTAACTACATTAATGCATCATTATTGTTACTAGTAGGGTTCGGCAACATGCATGCGCATGTCATACATTACATGCAAATGCACATGCATGCATGTACATGCGCATGTAGATTAGGCTATTACAACAAAATTTATGCAAATCAATTGTGTTGAAAAACAACATAAAATTAATTTTCTAATACTTCTAATCGTAAACAACTTCAAAAACTTCAAGTTTTAGATTTTATTCAATTTCAAATTTAATAATTAGCTGCAAAATATACTCAATCTATGATAACTTTTTATGTCTTATTCTGCAAATTCTCGCTCAAGTTCTTCGATCATAGCTCCTTCATCTTGTATATAGTCGTTTTTGCCACGAGTATCCATCAGTACGTTATTTTTATATAGAAAAACTAGCTTCTCTACTCGTTCATTTGTTAGACGATTTCGAAGACGTGAATGAATAAATCTGAAGATCGACCAAGTTCTTTCTGCTGCAGCTGATGTGCATATCATCTCATTGATGGAAACTGCCACTTGATAAAGTTCCGGATACTTGTTGCAACCAATAATGCTCCAATAGTTTTTTGCGCTCATTTTGTAAATTGTATCCTTTCGTTTCTGGGGCAACGTAGTCATTTCTCCACTAAACTCGATCAGTTGTTTTCGCACTTTGTCAGCAATATCCGGATGAATTTCGCTTGTTCGATCAAACGTGGCTGTAATAATGTCAATTTTGTCATCTCCAAAATAAAAGCCGTCTGCTGCGTGCTTTGGCGTAAGCATGTAAGCTAGTCCCATGGCTGGCGTGAAAATAAAATCAAGTCGCGACTGAACTTTTTGTTGAATACTCTCGTCATCATCATAATGGTTGAAGAGCTGACCAAAATAGTGGTAGACAAGTGAGAGCGGAGCTTCATCGGCTGCCAACTTTCCAATCATTTTGGAAGGAAGCTCAATGTCCTTAACTAACTTTGCCAAACGAATCCAAAAGGCAGGGGATTTGATTAAAGTCAGGACTGCTGCTGATGTGGTTTTGGGTTAAATTTCTTTTAATGCGTCGTTTTCCTCGTCAGCTAGCTTGATCAAAACATACTTGGAGAGAAGAAGAGAGTTCATTGCATTGTACAAGCTAAACCAGCGTGTAGCAACAGGCATGCAGAGAGATTGATTGACATTTGCTGTACGTCGATGGTGGTTTTTGATGAACTTGATAATCTTTTCCGACTCTTTAATTGTTTTTGCAGCTTCTGTGGTACTGGCGATGTCTTTAATTAATAGATTCATGCCGTGGCCGCTACAACCACTTGCTGAGATGTGTGGGTATGTTTCTTCAATTATCTGCCATGATGACTTCATAACAGGTGCATTATCAGAAATAAAGCTGCAGAACTTTTGTGAACCAATCTTGTCGATGACTTGGATGATAGCAGCAGCAACTGCAACTGAGTTCTGAATGATTCCGGAGGTATCGATAGATGAATAAAAAATAGCTTTTTGACCCGGTGCCTTCACGCAGAAATTAACGATGTGATCACCTCTGATGTTTGTCCAACCATCTGACATCAACGTTAGATTACCGTGAGATTGGATGATTTCATTGACAGCAGCAGAGCACTTATTAAAGTGCTTATCGAGCAGCGATCCTGATAAGGTCTTTGCACTCGGCATAGCAGCTGCGTATGCTGGATTGAGCGCCTTAACGAAATCCTTGAATGCATCAGATTTAACTAGTCGTAGAGAAATGCCAGTTCTATAGAAGTAGTTTGATAATTTCATGTCAACATCTGCCTTCCATTCTCCATTTGTTGTGTCAGCTACATGTGAAAGCGATTCTTGTGAGGCTTGCATCGGTTGAGTGTGTTCATTTTGAGAGGATGTGGAAGGATGTGCTGGTGATTCTGATTTGCGTTTTGAAAACAGTCGTTTTTCTTCGAGACTGGCATTTGGACAAGATGATCTCTTGTGTGCTGCAAGACGTTCTTTGGACCACTGGACAAGTTTATCACATAATTTGCACTTGCCATAATTAGTTTGACGATTGTAGTTGGTTAAATATTTTGCGACTTTGATTTGACTCATTATAGCTTTTTTCTAACGAGAAACGATTTTCTAATTAAATGTATATGATTCAAATGTATGCAAATCATTACTTACGATAGTTTTTGAAGCAAAATAATAGAGAAAAATGAGTCAAAACTTAAATTAATTTTAAAAATATTTCAAAAGAATGACCTTATTAAATTTAAATTTTTTGTTACCGTTAATCTACATGCGCATGTACGTGCGCACGTACATGCGCATGCATGCGCATTTTTAACATGCGCATGCATGCATGTAAATTTCCGAACCCTAAAATTATGTCATAAATTAACTTTTTTAAATTAGTTTAATTATGAGTTTAGTTCAAAAACTAAAAGATTCCACTAGATTCCATGGTAGTTTTAATATTTTCCCATTAATAGGTATATATGAAAGCAGAATAAATAAAAATAATTTGCCCCAACTTGCCCCAATTAAAATAAAACCTTTTAAGTACTTCGTTTTTTTTTGTATATATTTTTTTTCTGTTTTATAACTTGCGCATAAAGTAGCGAACAATTGTTCATTGCCTGCATTCATCACACCAATAATACATTTAGTATCATCCTATTACTAAAAAAACTTATGCTCAAGCAGATGGTGCTAATTATCAGACCTCAAAACCAAAATTTGCAACATTTGATGTTATAATGCATATTTTAAAATTCAAACTTGCGTTTAAAATAACTAACAATAGTTTATTGCTTACATTAAACATGAAAAGAATACATTTAGTCTCTATAATTCAAGAGTTAGGAATTAATCATGATAATTAACTCTTATACGTGAGTTTTGTAGACTGGAGGGTTTATACTATGAAAGTATTGACAAACCTAAAATGTTAAATCTAAAGAAAACTCTAATAATATATAAATTTAAATTCCGATCAAAATTGCAGAGATATTCAAGAACCTTCTTTAGACTTTTGGAACACGAGCAAACTTGGTTGAACAAAGATGTAACTGTTCACAAAAAAAAACTTTGCAGCAGGTCCAGGCAGAAAGAGCAAAAACTGGGAAGATTTAGGTGATAGAAGCAGAAGATCTTAGGTAATAATAAATAAATTAAGTTCAACCCAGTTTGAAAAAGTAGTTTACAAACTTAAATATTAAATATTATCTTGTTTAAGGTTGCCAAATTGGCTGAACATCCTGCTGAAGCATTGGCATTAGCTTCAATTAAAAAAGCCACTAAAGATCCTACCAAAAAAGATTTCGTTGTTCTCATGAAAAGTGCAACAAACTCTGAAAAAGGTTATATCACGGAGATAAATTTTCCGATAAAAATGAAAACCGAAGATGCCTTGACCTTAAAAGTTGAGTGTGACCTTTCTGATGAGCAGTATCAAATTATTAGAAATTCATCAATACTACATAATGCAGATATTTATTCTTCACTTCACGAAATTAAGAATGAGAGACACAAGTGTTATCCTGAGGGTTTAATTGTGACAGAAACATCTGCTTCAACTCCTCTACAGGGTATGTTTAATCATACTCTGACAAGAATATTAATTTTTACGGAATCCCAAGACTCTATGAGAATGTTTGCTGAAATTGGGGGGAAGTTTAAAGGTGTACTTAACTTTGAAGGTGGCTTTGATGGTGCCTCCAGTCAAAGCGTCTATAAACAAAAATATACTGATACAAATATTGGTGAGGCCCAAGTTAACGAGCAAAGTCTTTTCCATACAGTTACTGTTCCACTTAAATTAACCATCACGAACAAAAGTATATGGTTAAATAAGACGCCTTCCAGTACACGTTACTGTAGACCCTTCCATCTCCAATATCAAAAAGGAACGGAAGAATTGATACGAAGTTAGTATGAACTTTTAAAAGCAGAAATGAATAGACTAGTCAAGTTTGAAGTAAAGTTAGAAGTAGTGGAATGCAAACCGGATACGATAATCACATTTAAGTTCAAACTAGATTTAACCATGTTTGATGGTAAAGTGGTTAATACCCTCACTAACACTATGTCCTTCCATACATTTTATATTTGCGGATCTAAGCCCAGTGAACTTAATAGCCCAGAATTGATTAGATCTAAACCAATTAATGAAAAAGCTTAATCTTTAGGCCTTTCTACTCTGCATTGCTGGCTCAGATCTTTTGAATATATTTTACATTTAGGATACAAGTTAAACATTAAAAAATACTTTGCCAAACCCCCCGCTGAAAAAGCATCAGCGAAAAGTAGAAAAAAGAACATTCAACTGAGGTTTAGAGAGGAGCTAAGTCTTATAGTTAATATGCCTAAACAGGGTTTTGGCAACACTAACGATGGAAACACTGCCAGAAGGGCATTTGAAAATGCTGAAACTTTTGCTGATATAACGGGAGTGTCAGTAGATGTAATTATTAGATTTAGGACAATCCTAATATCAGTATGCTCCTGTTATGAGTTAAACTCAGAAAGTTTTGGCCAGTATTGCTATGAAACTACAGCTCTTATACTCAAAAACTATTGCTGGTATATGATTCCCCCAACTGTTCATAAACTCTTGGAACATGGTGTGCAGATATCTGAGGCATTAGAACTGCCAATTGATTACTACTCTGAAGAGTCACAAGAGACTCTATTTAAGGAAATTCGAAAAGATAGATTAAATCATACAGACAAGATATCGAGACCAAGGTACCAATACCTCTTGATTAGAAGTGATCCTGTGATATCAAACATTTGTTTCAAAAAATACATGGTTGAAAATGGAAGAACACTTACCCCTGAAGTTTTATCTTTGTTAATACTGTAATAATGAAATAAACCTTTTTTATAACTTTAGGTTTTC